TGAGTGAATTTATTTTTTTATGTTTTCGCCAAAGTCTCATTAGGAGGTTGGAACATTAAAGTTTTTGAGGATGTTTGAGAGTTTTTGAATGAAGTTTTGTCCAAAACATTTTCCTTTTTTCCTATCTTAACAGACATTTACATGTTTGGGTTGATCTGGTGCATTAAAATTAAGAATCAATGATAAAATGCCCATTGAGGTAAAATAATCAGAAATATAAATAATTTAATTTTTGTAACCTTTTTTGTAAAAATGCTTTGGTTTATTTTAGTAAGGTCCTTCATTATGCGGTGAATTTATTATAACCCTTTTGTTTTTCATCACCATTTCATAGCAATTATTTAGTAGATGGCCTGCATTATACCTACGTCTGTTTCGCATTTATGATTGCTTATTTTTTTATGTTGTATACGAAAGCTGCAGAAATAGTTTCTAAGGAAGTAACAAAACAGCTCTCAGTCAATGTCATGTCCCAGCTTCTATTTTTGAATTGATGTGAGAAAAGTGTGTTTGCAAACATTTGTATGTGACTGAAAATGATTGTGGGTTGTTTCCTTCTCAGAAAGATAGGATACAGACTCCTATCTTTATTCCATCTATTTCTGTGCCACCGTTATCTGGCTTCAACTAGTACAGACTGACACAGCCTTTCCCTAACTGAAAAATGGAGGCTAAATCAGTCAAAAATCATGTCCTCAGTCCACAGCTTCATTCATTATGATATTACTCACAGGTTAACTACACCTTCAATTAATGTGACTTGTGAAGCCATTGCTTTTACTGGGCCTCTTTCTTGTTATGAAGGGGATGAATCCAAATTACTTACACTATTCATATATTATTTGCAAAAAAACAGTTACTTCACTAATTTAATTTGATTATATTGGATTCTAACATAAAATCTATACAATAACACAAAATTTTGTGGTTGTGATGTGGAAAGAAGATGCAAATTCAAGGCATGTGAATACTTGTGCTAGCCAGTGTTTGTAAGAATTCACCAGACTACAGTATATCCAGGATATCTTGTCTTCACTTATCTGGTTCAATGTTAAGCTGTCACTTGTCCGCTCTTCTGTCTAACTTTAAAATAACCTGAACCCAGGAGCTTGACTAATAGTCAGCAACATCCCAAACACTGACCAATTGCTACATGCGGATGAACATAGGGCAACCTCAAATCGTTCCAATCAGCAGCAACCTATATCCACCTCTTTGGATGCACTCAGGGACAATCACAAAGAGCAACACAGCATGTGGAAGGACACCTATCAGCACAAGTACTACATGGAATATATCTTCCTGAGTAGCCGCTCTTCCTGCTGCCAAAAGTTCTGCTACATTATTCCTTAAACATGTCAGTATCATCATCTGATGAGAAGACGGAATAAATCTATTTAAGGCTTTGGAGCCTGTCATATGAGCTGTGAATGTCATAGTTATTTGATTGTTTCTTCTCTGATGCAGAGCGTTATCACTTCTTGTGGCTTTCAGGAAATGGTCTGCCATGCGCTGCTTTTTACATATACAGGTGTTACATTCAGGAGCTGTTAGTGAAACACCTTTTTTCAGCGATCGAATATGTGTAGGGGAATAAAACAATGCTAAATTTTAAATCTATGAGATGTTACATGATTAGATCCTGTGTGATACATCAGACACTGATATTCTAAACTTCAATTAATGGCTTATAAAAGGTCAGAACAAAGAGACTTCAGGTGCAGCTAGGAATGGAGATGTTACACAGTTGTTTTACTGCTTTGCTGAGAAAATGTTCAGCAACTGATAGCAAATACAGATAAAAGGGACACAGTTACTACTGATAGATTTCATAGAAATTTGTCTTTTTAGTAATTTGAGCTGATGGTTTACCTATAACTGTTACCTTTATTTTAAAATGCTTTAAATAAAAGAAGCCTTTTCCAGAAAAAATTGGGTGTTGGATTACTGGGTTTGTAATGTGGATAATCAGTTGGCCATAGATTTGCCAGTGAAAGAAGCACTTATGCATGTTTAGAGAACATCAGATGTATATTTTCTTTCTATTATTATTTTCCTACAGTTAGTATTGAAGTGAGCAGTTTGAGAGCTGGCATCCATATGCCTGTCTGCAAACAAACTGTCATTTCAAGCATTGGAGCACCTCATTAAAAGAACTTCACAGAGTTGTAATGAGAGGCCAGCATGGCCACCTCTACGCGGAAGTCTGTGATAGCTTGTGGGGGTCAAGGGATTACAAATATGTCTTGTTAAATTAGGCTCCTGCGACTGAGTACTGTGACTGAAAGTGGGACTCAGCTGTCTAAGTGGAACCTGTGTCTGTCTTTGTGATGAGCTACAGTCAAACATGAAGATCATATCACGGCATGGCTCCTTTGGGACTTTAGTGATGCCTCCGTCCGCTGTGCACACACTTTCCTGACCAATGAAAAGCTTCTTGAAAGACTTTTTATGGTCGTACATTTAAAGGGCTGTACTGTACACTACCAAAGGTTTTAAGGAAAACATCTTCATGGTATGATTGTCTTTAATCATGTATTGTGGAAATGTGTGTTAAGTTGTGTGAAAACTGTACCAGACATACAGTATACTATCAAGAAATTATTTGATCATCTCTATGTGCCTGCTGACGTAGCTCATATAAACCACTTAAGGATAAAATTAACAGAATGCACTACCTTTCAAGAAGTAATTAAAGGAATAAGACACTCCTTGTTCAGGTTAAAAATTTTAAAATTGAAGCAGAGCTTCCAAATATATCCTTGTTCAACCTTGAAACAGACCTGATAGCTCAGAAGGGATAAATCAAGTATTTAGAAGGTGGATTTCTTTTCCTACTTGAGTTTCTGCTATCTTTATTCATCATTCCGAATCCATATGGCTTAACCCAAAAAGATCTGACAGCTTTTTAACATCAATAAGTGCCCAGGTAGGAATATTATGGTGCAGATTTTAAAATTTTACAAACATCTAAGAGATAATTTATACTGTATTTTTCAAACTCTAATAATCATAATTTGGTCATGTTTAATTTGAACCAAAAACAAATCAAAATCAGCTTTCTTTTCATATATATTATAAAGTGAATCAGTGATTTTAAACTGCAAACATCTAGCATAAAAACAGCTGCTTGAGTAATCTAAGAACTTCTATATTCAGGTGGTGTTTGTATTCTTCTAACAATGCCTACATCTGTAAATGAAAAAAATGTTTTTGTTTTTATTTAAAAGATAACATTTTTTTAATGGAAATATGCCCTATGATATCTAGGATTTTTCATGTTCTGCCTTTGCAGGACTGGCCTATTCCCAGGTACCCTGACTTTCTCCCACTCCAGAAACCTAACTGGTTAATCAGAATTGGTGTAGGCTATTGTGTGTCTCTATGCATGCATGGTGGTGTGTCCAGTGTTCCTCCACATTGCCTTGCAAAAGGCTTGCATCCTGTACAAATGTTACCCTGCTTTCCAGCTAAAAACTTCTTAGAGCAAAGATATGTTTTTTGTAAACTAACTGCAGATGGCCTCATGGTGATTAGAGTGTCTTTTCATCAGAAACAGTAGTTTACCTTTGTGAAATATTACAGGCAGACTGAGTTAGTGCTTATAATCTCCTCCGTAGGACGCTGGTTTAATATGTTTCCAAGTTGCTGTTCTAATTACATTTTTTTTTTTTTTTTTTGCTGGCTTTGCTGATTTCTTACTCCTCACTGAAATAAGTCAGAAAATGTTCTAATACATCTTCCCTTTTTGAACTCAAATTTTGATGCAGACATTCCTATCACTGCTTCTGTTTTTTACTAACATCCAAATTTGGCCTCTCAAATATTACATAATGACTTGTTGGGAGCTTTTAGTTCACTCATGGCTTTCTTCTACTCATTTTTTCTTTTTTTTTCATATAATTCTTGAATTCTGACACTAAAATAACTAAAACTATCATGAGAAACAGGACAAACATAACTGACTTTTTTAAAAATAATTTCCATTTAAAACCAACAATTCCTGATATTGCAGGGAACTCTTTGAACCTGTTTTTTTTTTAATAAGCAGTACCGTACACATAAAAATCAAGTACAATTTTAGATGATTTACACTACTTTGGTATTCATCTGATTTCTGTCAGATTTCTGTGCATGTTTTTATATTTTAACGCCTTTTTAGAGAGGAAGAACTTGAAATATTATGTGCAGCAACAGTTTACTTTAGGCAGATGGGACAATAATTTGTTGTCCTGCATCAAATTTGCCATTGCTTAAAAAGTCTGTGATAGCTGACAATTATAACTGACCATGATAATGACTTGGCAGCAATCAAGCAAATATTGAAAGAATGGACGGGTTGGGCTGAATAAAATGGATGGTTTTACTACTGAAGCTATTTATCAGCTCCTTTGTTTGCACTATTGGAAATATGATTGGACACTTCTTTAAAACCTAATTAAATAGTCAAGAGACATAAGAATAACTGAAATTGGACATCTCTTCAACCCATTGTTCAGTGTGGGACTAAACAAAGTGTTGTTTCAGGCATCTTACAAGTAACTTTTTTAGTTTATCTTATCAACTACTCACCCATTGCTTGTGTGCCTTATTTAAACACACCGCAGATACCGAAATGCTTGCTGTTAATATATAGATATGCAATCAGTTACTTTTATAGTTTCAGAACAGTTTCTTAACTTCTTGAGGGCTAGTTCTCCTGCAGTGCACCAATCATAGCTACAGCCCTCATTGAAATCATCATGCATACATTCAATATCACAAACTCAGCACTAGACTTTACTAAGGAGGCACAGTCATGTTAACCATTAAGCAGCTACAACAGAGGAAGTAATGCTTAAACAGATAAACTATAGTCTCAAGTAGATAACATTTGTCCAACATTTCTGTATAAAAAAAAATGTATGTGTTGCTTCAATATGTTGGATTGCAACTCAGAATCCCCATAGGGAGAGAAAAAAAATCATTATAATCTTTATTACTTTCCCAATAGGCTTTATTACTATCAAACGAAGAAGTATTTCTTTATAATCTGAGGGCTATGTAATGCATTACACAAAATGGTATTTGGAAGTCCTAGTTTTTGTTTAGAAAAGGCAATTTCAATTTTAATCTGTCTGGCTAAACTCTTCCCTTGCATTTAATGTTATAACACTTGCTGCTACACTTAACTGCTAACAGTTAAGAACGGCCTGGAAGAGAAACAATACAAACTTAATACACTTAAGTGTCAAGAGCTTGGAAGACAAGGTGAGCTTGTAAGAATATGGTTGAGGACTGCAGAAAATTGTCCATGTCATACTCATGTAGAGAAACTGAGACAGAGGGTCACTCAACAAACCCCTCTCCCTTTGCCTCAAATACCAGCACGGTTACAATAAAATGGTATAAAAGCGAAATTGTTGGGTGCTAGAGAGGTGAACAGTTATTCCACAGTAAAAGTCTTTTTGGTATCCTAAAATCTCATCTTCATCTTTCAAGATTTTGAAAACTTTATACAGAGGATAAATAAGTACAATCTAATAAATACATTTAAGGATCAACAATATGTGATCCTAAATCAAAAGATACAAGAGTCAATGTGTGTCAGATTATGTCTTTTAAGCTAAAAAACGATTTTGATAGTTATCTTAAAACACACAAAAGCCTTAATACATGCAGTATTAGTGCATAGGTTCCTGCAATAAAAACAATTTTATGTATTCCACTGATTCCCTTCCAAAACAGAATGAGATAAATTTGGCATAGTCTTAGAAAGCAAAATAAATTGAGTGTCCGGAGATCACTTTCACACCCTCCCAGTCCCTTAATAAAACCTGTTAATTTAATATATTTCTTCCTATATACAGCATATATAAATAAAAACAACAATGTATTGAACAAATAAGTAGTACCTTACAGTTCTGAGTTCCCTGGTAAAATATTTTGGATTCACAGTAAGTTTTAAAATCCTAGTAAAATGAGAGGTGGAACACAATGAAGTCTGACAACATAAAAGAACTGTATGAGTACCAATAGTTGTGTGTTTCATTTCAGGGGAGCACAGGAGGGTGTGATCCATCCTCACAAATTGGAAGGAAATTTAGAAATAGCAGTTTGAGGTTCTAGATCTGACAAGTAGGCACCAGAGCCCCTCTGTGAAGGAGGTGCCGGAGAAGATCTAGGTGACCGAGTCTGGTGAAGGTTTACTGGAGACTCCTGCTTTGGAGGAGTCATATGCCCTGGTATTGAGCCACAAGGTTTGTGTACAAGAGTTGGTGAGGAAAATGGAGAGGGGTAAAATTCCACGGAGGAGCAAGGAGTTTGGTGGCTGAGGGCCACATCCTGGGGTAAAGACGGGTGTGAGCTTGATAAACATTTCAGGTCCTCGGAAAACTGAGTTAGAGGAGAATCTCTCCCTGTTGTTTGTGGCAGACTGGGAAGCTGTGAAAGGAGAGGAGATTGAGGCATGAGCAAAGAACTGTGGGATCCTGCAACACTTGAAGGGTCACTATATTGAAAGGTCCTGCCTGCCACGGGACTTTGTACTGTTGGACTGCGTGCAACTGGGGTAAGGCAAGGAGAGGCGTTCGCTGACCCATACTGAGCCAAGGAAGCTAATGCTGACCTTTCCAGGGACATCTGGTGAGGCAAACAACCAGACTGAAGGCCTGCTAAGCTAAAGTGACTCATGGAAGGTGGGGAACCAGCAGCAGGCTGTTGAATTTGCTGTCCTCTAACACAAGATGGTGACCCTTGTGAGGGTGACTGGAAGAGGTTTATACCACTGGTAGTCCTACCTCCTCCAGCAAACTGCTGCAAAGTTTTGGGATGTGCTTGATTTGGGAAAATCTGACTAGACATAAGGTTGGATGGACTGCTAGATAAAGGACTCTGACAAAAAGAGGACCCTCCAAGTCCTGCAGTAATTCCACTTGAAGAATAACCAGATGAAGTTGTAGATTCTGTCACCTGAGTACCTACTAAACTTCCTATACGTTTCCCAGTTTGTCCTAGAGTAGCAGTTTCTCCTGGCTCATTTGAGGCTCGTCCTATATGGCTGGTCACTGTACCAGTGGAAGATCTCCCTAACAATGCTGATGAATTCCCCACTGCCATTTCGACAGAAAGTCCCCCAAATGTTCCCCCACAGGCCCCATCAAAAACAGATCCCAATGATCCCTCACCAAACTTTTCTGATGATCGCCTTGAATTTATAAGTAAAGGTGATTCTTGTGAAGTCCCACTTATTGATCCCCTGGAAGCTCTTTCAGCTGACCCTCTGGAGGCCTCTCCAAGAGTTCTCTTGGTTTTGTCCTGTATTAAACCACATGTGACACCTGGACCTGATACACCAGAGGCTCCGCCTGTGAACCTAAGACAAGCAGCTCCCATTAAGCCTTCTGATTTTCCACCAACTATGTCCTCTGACTTGCCATGTATTAATCCGTCATTTGCTTGTTTTAAGTCGAAGTAGCCCCTAGAAGTAATGTCTGTCACCCCTGTTGTGAAGTCCTCCCCAGCCCAAAAGGTGTCTCCACCAGAGGCTCCTTCCACAGAACCTCCAGCTGCATCTCCTGAAGCCCATCCGGTAGCACCCTCACATGCTCCAGCAGCACCCCCACCTAGTCCTGATCCAGTGCTTCCACTTACAGGTGTTTGGTGAAAGAGATTTGAAAGGGGTGGGGTGGTGGATCGAAACGGTTGTTGAGACTGTGGTTGTGGATGAAGTTGTGCCATACTAGAAGAGGGAGAACCTGAGGATGACTGTAGACCAAAAGGAAAGACAGTGGTACCCCGTTCACTGGACTGAGACCCAGCCCCATTAGGTCGACCTCCTAAGCCTGGACCTTGTCGTGTTGAACCAACTGGCCCAGAACCAGCTGTCATATGCTGAGCCCGAAAGGATGCAAGCAAAGGCATGTCCATCCCAGACCGTAGCTTAGAGGGTGTGCTAGACAGAGAGTCACCAGAAGACCCAGGTGCTGTGGAGGAAGAAACAAATGGTTGGAACTTTCTTAGTCTGGAGGGGTCCTTTAGGGAACTGAGAACGGAGACTGGAGGTCTGAAAAGGGTTGGTGGGAGGTGAGGATGGTGTGTCAGTGCGATGGCTACTGAGGTGGTGGCAGCAGCAGCCTGGAGGGGAGCCTGGATGAGAGGGGCCCAGATGACAGGCGTTGGTGATGGGGGCGTCTGTGGAGGTACGTTCTGCATAAGGTGGGCGCAGTGGGCCATGTCCCTGTCATGTTGGACAATCTGCTGGATGATCTCATTCTCTTGGTAGTTGAGTACCCCAGAGCTTAGATCATGTTGTACCTTGTGTTGAAGAATAGAGTTTTTCTTCCCTGTAGGAGAAATACCAACACACATACACAAAAAAGCAAGTGTGAGAAGACAAGAGGAAATAATGAGTAGAATCCTGTTTAAAACAGGTTGATATTAAAAGGACTTTTTAACAAAAATGTCTTTAAACAGCTTTTTTCCAAATATAAGGGTATATATATTATCCTTATCAAACAGATTTGAGCTCCTGATCTTTAAAGTACAAGTTTTGTGGAGTGTTGCATTTGTTTAAGTAATATGTGTCGAAAAAATATTATCAAAGTGTCACACCCCTGCTGGGAAATTGCCTTTAAGCAAATTGTGCTAATGAACGCTCTATTCAAATCTCATTCATTCTAACTATGAGCTCCCTTAGTAACCTTAGGAAACTAGTGTGTCATAGGACACGCTTTAAGTTCCTACTCAACCTTGCTGACTGTGAAAGGATTGAATGTGCACTGGCAGGGTTAGTTTACAAGGTAGTTATTTTCAGTTGGCATTAATATAAATCTGATTACCTATAAGACAATGCAAAAAATATCTACCATATATAGTACATGGTTCTTTAGCTTCTATTATGACAAGTAGAGCCTAGTCATTGTAACACCAATCTTTTATCTCAGACAACATGAAACAGATAATGCAAAGATAAATAATTTTAGACTGCCTTAGAAAGTGCAGGAGGAAAAAAAAGAGGATGAGTATCAAACAGAAATAAAACATGCAGGAGGGCATTCTAGAAAAATATCACTATTAGCTAACTGCATCATTTCAAAGCAGCCATTTTCTACAAAGTTAACCCCTCGAGCACATGTCTTATCTTCCATTCAAAACACAGCTAAGAGTAAATCAGAGGATTCCATGATTGGTTGAATGATGTTACCACCATGCCTTTTATGATGCTTTTTCTTTTCAGCCAGACTGAGCTTTGAAACAATGATGGATACAGAGAGAATATCAATTGCATGTGTAAAAGAAGTCATGCAGAGACTTAAACCTCAAAGCCCAGCTTCATGTTTGCATGCAGATGACTTTGAATTTAGCTTCAGTAAGAACATGCTGTTTCTCCTGTTTCCAAATGCAGCCTTGAAAAACACTCAAGGTTATTGCAAATGTCACAGAATATCTTTTACTTTGCTTGGGTATGCATGCTGTCTTAAGTGATGTCATTGTTGTTATGTTAACTTCCTCACCAATTCGGTCCAGTCGGTCCAGGGCAACCGTCTCAAAAGCCCTTCTCATCATAGGATACTCCTCCAGCACCTCATTGAAGTTGTCCACAGAGAGCGAGTACAAACGGCAGTATGTATCGGCTCGGACACTGGCTGTCCTCCTACCTCGTGTCAGCAAACAAATCTCTGTAACAAGACACACAGGAGATGATACACTATTACCCCCTAGAGCTACCCATTGATAAGAATGTATATACAGAATCATGTAAGGGCTAAAACTACATTCTTAATACTTGCAGAAGACTGCAAGCCAGTCATGAAAAGGGCACACTAAATACTTCTCTCAAGGGCATACTAAATGTTCATTGTTTTACTGCTAAATGGGCTATTGTGTGTCATTACTGTGAAGTACACTGCAATTCCAATTCAGTGAACAGAAACAGGACCTGATGTAAGGAGTGCAAAATTGCTAGTGCAAACAAACAAACAAAAAATACATTTGATATAAATGGTGTGCTGCAATGAATTTACTAGGCTTTGTGCTCAATTTAGAACAGGTGCAAAAGTGTTGCATATTGCCCTATTCAAATGAGGATTTTGCATGTGCTACTAGCTGTCAGAATGGAGGGTTTGGAAGAGCAGAATGGATTTATATGTGTTCCCTAAGGCTACTGTAGTTTGCAACAGCACTGCACACAGAATGCAGGAATGGTCACAATGTATAGAAAATGCAGGCAGAGAAGATGAGGCAAAATATTTTCCATTTGTGTGAAATATAAAAAAGTTGGAACAATTTCTATAAGAGGACTTAGAGGCACAAACAAGGCAGAGTAGTTTCTGGCATCTGGATTATTCCAAATGTCACAACCAATCACTGTTGTTGAAATTCCTAAAAGTAATGTCACTTAGAAACAGCCACATAATCATCTTTTCAGAAACTCCAGATGCATGAAGCACTTTTTTAGCAGTTTTCTTAATTAAAAGAAATGTTTTCTTTCTTTTCTTTTGAACGATATTGTATTGTTGAGTTTACAAAATGAAAGAGAAAGAAAGTTGCCAGCAGATGCCCTAAACATTTTTTTCAAACAGCCCAATAATATAAAAAAAACAGGAGACAAAGCCAATGATTTTAATATATACCTTTAATAATAGTAAAGATGCCACTGCAGATTGTCATTTTTTTGCACCATAACTGTATGCACAACAGCCAAAAAATAAAGACATAACAGGAGAAGCTACACTGCAAAAACGATCTAGAAATAAGTACAAATTTCTTAAATTAAGTATATTTACCCTTAATTTGATTCAGTAAGTAAGATGATTTTCCAATGTATTTTTACACTTAAAATAAGATGCTTAGATAACATGCACTTGAAATAGGACAATGCAATTGTTTTTTTCTTGTTTTAAATATAAATTGATTTATTCCTTTGGCAAAGTGTTCCCCTTACTTCTCAATTCAAGAAAAAAATGTACTTATTTAAAGAAAAATGACTAATTTAGATTTCAATTTGTTTGCAATTTATTTCATAATATATATTATAATGACACATTTTACTACTGATTAACACAGAAAATTATCTACTGCTCTTTGAAAAATGAACTCCTCTATACTGATGACAGTTGCACTGAGTTACATATATTTTTTGAAGATACTCACACAAAGAAAATTTCTAACTAGAATAGTTTAAGGCCATGAATGAGATAAATTCTTTAGCGCTCAAAGCCCGGCCGAAGATCTTGGTGCTGTGAAATTATACATGATCGCATGAATGGTTTAAGACGAAGTACACTTAGGCCCCATCCACACGAAGCCAAACCCTGGCCTAAACGCACAAATTATTCACCAAACCAGCCTCTCATCCATACAAAGCCGGCGTTTCGGGGGTCTGTAAACAATCTTTTTTTTATTAAGCCTTCAGAGTGGGAAGATTTTGAAACGCTGTTTTCACGTTTCCATCTTTAAGCTCTAACCGCATTTTTTTTCTTTCACGCATGCGTCATATCGTCGCCTCTAAACACGCATGTGCGACACAGTATCACAACAACAATGGTGCCGTACTGTGTTGAATGGTTGCTGCTCATGCTACTCACCCTGCTGTCGGGCTTACAACAGAATCTTCTTCTTCTGGAATATCTCCAGGAAGAACAGAGCAATATCGACGACATAGTTCAGCACCTGAATTTGACCGAACCACGAAAATGGACCCGCAGGGCAACCATGTATAAATATTAGTGCGCATGCCCAACATTTCGTCGCCTATTTTTGCTTTGGCACCACAGCGCCACTTACAGGCCTGGCATACATTTTGCAGCGTTTTCATGCATTCGTGTGGACGATCACATTTATTTTACGTCTCCGTCTTTACGACAAAAACGTTCTGGAAAATATTAGCGTTTCGTGTTCGTTTTGACTTCGTGTGGACGGGGCCTTAGTCTTCCCACAGGGGTCTGGACACTGCTAGCGAAATAAGTATGATGATGAATTGGCGCTGAATGTCCAAGGACTAATTTCTTGATAGAGGAGGTGGGTAGGACATCAGCTGTTATGCAGGAAGAGAGCTGGACCCATCACTTGGTGAGGAGGATCTTAGATGGCTATTTGCTTCAGAGGGGGTGCGGTCGCAATAGGGATTGGCTCGATGAATGAAATATGGGACACCAGCAGGTTATCCAGGTGAGGCTGATTAGCGCCTTCCAGATGGAATTTACACATTAAGCTTCATAGCTACCGATATACGGCCAGCTGCTAAATGACTCAGCAGTGCTGGATACTAATGCATGCCACACTTTCCAGATTTACATATGAACAAAACTGTGAAACCTGTAATTGCTTTACATTGTGTTGATGCATTCCATCACTACAACCACCACCAAAAAAAGATGTTTGTGAAATTAATTTAGAAAAACATGAAAGGGTTTAAGATGTATGGATTATTTTGCAAATCACTACATGCATTGCTCCTGTAATGTAACTGATAGATTATATTTGAAAGCTCTGCATAGTGCTTCACTACACGTAATCAGCACAGGCACAGGTTATATTCAAATTATTTTTAAATTTTTCCAAATAATATAGACCATACCCATGCATTATTTATTGAATTCTTTATTGATGCAATTTAAAAAACATAAAGTTTCAAGTAAAAATTTTATTTTGCTTTGATTTTACTTTTAGTAGAAAATCTTAATTCTGGAATTCAGTCACGGCAGCACAAAGTACTATTTTCATAGCTTTGGGTTTGGATGCTAAGAAAAAATTGCTCCATGTAACGTGCAGTTCAGCTGGAGATATGTGGCAAGAATAAGGAGGTTTGTTTGCACTAAATGTAAATGTAGCATGTGCATATATGTGTTTTAAAGCAGGATTAGAATAGGGCTTTAGCATGAATGTATGCAAGGTGACATACCAAAATGTATGTAAATATAATATACTGGAAAATGTATAGCAATAATATATCAGTAATTTAGAACAAAATAGAATATAAATGAAATAAATAGAAATTTCCTGTCTTGTCTGTGGGAAAATTCAGGTGCGTCAGCAGCAAAGTGAAAAGACAATTGGAAGCATAGAGCTTAACACATCACAAAAAAAATATATAAAAAATTTCTGAGGCAAAAAAGTAGATAAGATATACCAGGATCAAAAGCAGGAATCAAAAGTAAGAAGAGACTGTTCAGTAAAGCAAAAACCCACATAACAAAAAAGAAATACTGTACGGTTACCAAAATAGCAAACTCTGATTAAACTACTATTGTATGCAGTACTTTATTGTATTTAATCTGCCTCATTGATCTCATATGCAGTGCATTAGTCTTCTGACTGATGTATATATGGGTTCTTAGTGTGCTTTTATACAATACGGAAAGTCTTTGATGCATGTTTCTATCAGCCTCCATTTCCAACGTATTCAATGTATGATCTTGGCTTTCATATATTTTCTCCCCATTTTACTGTATGAATTGCATCAAACTAGGATCTTCCTCCTGATAAGAACATTTTTAGATATTCTTTTCATTTTTTTTATTACCTAAATAAAGTGTTTAAATGTATATGTCCATATTAGGGGCTGTCTTTGATTTGGTTTTGTATGATAAAAATATGTAATTCCAATTCTTATTTTTTGGCTCTAAAAATCTTGCTTCTCTAAAAAACAACAACACGACATGCATTTTAAGGAACAATAAAAATGTTTCTATTGTATGTGTTTCAATATCATTACTTGTCAATCTAAATTAAAGTCAATATCAATAACAACTTTTTTTTATACAGGAAAACATGTAAAGATAAATCTAAAAATCCAAAGAACCTAATATGCCCCTAACCCTTTTTATTATATACATCTCTGGCCCAAAAGTTAATACAAGAATCATCACGTAGAAAGAGTACAAAGCTGCTTGTTCTGGATAAAAACGATCAATCTACAAAATGGCCTCTCTGCATGGACGCAGCTTGGCCAAATTCAAATGAGGCATTGTGTAATCCTTTGGGAGAAAACGAGACCATATTTACTGTTTTAAACAGTGAAACCTAAAAACTATTTTACATTAAAACTGATTCTTTTTTTATAATTAGAACTAATAATCCATAAACATGTGAAGTTTTCACACAAACTCATTGAAATTGCCCCTTTAAAGAACACTTATTCTTATAATAAAATTTGAGGAAGGTGATTAGGAAACAAGGGACCATAGGCAGGGGTGTTGGAAGGTTTGCTCCAGTGGCAGGAATTCAAAGCTTGCCCCCCTGTTATATGATTGACAGCTTATGTATTTTATTAATAAATATCTACAAGTTTTGACTGTATATCTTATCTGTGCAGAGAAAGTCTTAAAAGGATAGAATAAAGAATTTTCATTCCTAAATCTGTCCTTTTAATTTTCAAATTAGTTTTAAAGTGATGCATCCTCTTTTTTTATAAGTTGCAGCATCACATTAAATTAGAGATGGCTTTCCGTAGTGGGATTTTGTTTTGAGGAACACTTTGTCTGGTCAGGACCTGCTGTTATCTGTTAATTAAAATATTCATGTAAAGCAAAGCATTTGTTTATTTCTTTTTGATTGCTTCACCACCTGATGTGTCTGTGACTGAAAAAAATCAAAACTGCAACCTGGTTCAAAAATAACTGTAAATTGTTCCAATCTTGAGAGGCATATATGCTTTTCCCAAGCATTTACTGCAATC